ATGTGTTTTGAAAAACTCAATGTAATTGCTTTTTATATAGTTGAAATCATGGGTCAGTTGAAGCTAGACCACCATGGAAAACCTCAAAGCACTGAATGGCCGTTTCGTCCTATTGTGGGACTATTAAGCAGTGCGCATCCACGATCCCGCCTCGCGAGATTCCAACCCGGGACCTATCATTATCGCGCGCGAGCGCCTAAACACTAGAACACTGAGCCGGCATCCAACGGCGCTCAACTATATATTAAAAATTACTTAAATCTCCACAATGCCCTTTCTCAAAGTAATTGTTTTAATTTTGAAGTATCCTTTTAACTCATTTGAATAATTTATCTCAAGTAACTAATTTATTTAATCTCAAATAAATCTATCCTAAATTTATTAGACTATTTGAAGTTACTATTCATGAATATATTACTGTTCAATAAGAATAACTTGGACATTGACAATTCATAATTTATTATAAGCTCAGTTATTATCGTTAAATAGGGTAACAAATTGTTGATTTGTAAGTTAAGTTGCATTCATAGATAATTATTTTTCTTCTCGGTATAATGTTTATCAAGAAAACTGATCTGAGATGATGTACAATTACTAGAATCTGACCTGTTAATAACCATTCAGTTATTCATGTTTGTAGCTAGAACTAATAACCGATGAACAGTTGATTGGTTTGAAATAACAAATTTAACTAACAATCATCTTCAAATAATCCTAAATAATTAATTTCATCATTTAAAATAGTAATTCATTATTTATTGCTTATTATCCATGATTCTTTTCAGTTTGTTATGGTTTAGAAATTGAAATAAAGCACGATTTTTCAATTTATATCTTCTAATTAGGTTTCATATTTCTTTTCCAATAAACCTAATTTCTTACGAATATATATTGAAGAAATATGTTTAAATATATTTCACCTGTTAAGTTGACGGTATCCAAATAATCTTCAGAACATGTTATATGAATGATAGCTTCTGTAAGAAATCATGAGAAGTAACAAACCAAAATATGAATGAGTTATTGATTCCTTCTTGGATGGATTGAACTTTTCCTTTTTTTTGCATAGTATCATTGAATGCAGATAGTATACTTTGATTTGCATGAAATTAATCTAATATTCCATCTTGTTTGTTTAAATAAGGTTATTTTAATTTATCATTTACTTTCACTGTATCTTCATGACTACACTTTGATGTCTTTGGTTAACTTCAAACAAATTTTTGTCAAAAACAATAATGAGCTGACTTCCTTTATTATGAACAAATTATCAGTGTTCACTAGAATCAAAATTATTGATCAACTTGTCAATAACCATTCTGTCTGTTTTAAAAACACAATCATTACTACTTGAATTAGCAAGCATTTTACTTTTAATTTGCAGTATGAGAACTTATGATAAGTCAAACATGTAATAATGTCAACACAGACGTTTTTCAGGCTCAGCAAATCAGTGGGATATTTAAAGGAAACATATTAATTATTTAGACTAAGATAATCGCTTTCTGCTGTTTTCACTGATAAATTATCAAACCGGCTAAGTAGTCAAAACTCAGAAGCTTCGATTGTGGAGTTGTAACAAATTACGTTTTAAAGGTAATTAGAATAATCAATTTACTATGCTGAAATGTGAATGTTAGACTTAAAGTCTATCCTATCATTTCATCAGACTTAACTCATTACATCAGTACATTTTGTAAGTCATCTGTGTTCCAATGTACAAGTTTTCTTTGAATCATTTTTGTGTAATAATATTACTTCCCATAATATTTAAAATATTTCGAATTTAAGTTGATATCATGAATAGATCGATGTTAGGCCACCGTTTAAAACCTGGAAGCACTGGAAGGCCTTTTCATCTTAATATCGGACTCCTCAGCAGTTTTCATGAGGTGGTCTGACATTGATCCATTCATGTTTTTAATCGAAACTTAATAATCCCAAAGATCGTATACTGATATTTCTATTTATCAATTCCGTTAGACATAATAGCTTTTTCTTTCATCTAATTGATATGCACTGAAGTATCTTTAATTAGATGCTACTCTAAAATTATTCAAGATCCACATATATTATGTAAATAACTAGGCATTATACATATACATTATCAATGTGGTGCAGTGTAAGTTAAAATTACAGAAACCGAAGTTCTTATGATTGTCAAAATCAGTTAGAACAAAAGTGCCTGTCACATAATGAAACTGTATTATACTGAACAACCATAAAGGAGAATGATGTGTTTTACCAAATGAAAGGCAGTTAAGAATGAATTATTGTTTCAATTAAAGCAATAAAAGTCAAATAAATGTTTGCTTTATCATTTATCGATATTCTAGTGTATGCAAAATGCATGCATATGTTCATTGAACAGTTATTTGATACCTAAATCGAATAAATATTTTCTTCACTTAACAAAACAGAATAAAGTAACTTTTGCTTCCAACTACTTACTTTCACATATCATTGTTAAAACCTAATAGGTATATGTGAAACAATTTACAGAGATTAAGAAATATTTAATGTATAGGAAAACTGTTATAAAGTCGGTGCCAAATCATCATAACCACAAAAAACATAAAATCAGTATTAGTCTAATATTAGATACTAGATTGTTTGTAGCATTTTTTTTAATTGCGATTAAAGTATGCGATAAAATGAAAGTTGTATCTTTAACGGTCTAAAGAACAAACAACTAAATTTTATTGTCAAGTAAAGCTAATAACAATGAGCCATATCGTTGTACACATTTTTATTAAATTTATAGATCAAATATAAATCTAGTTAGACATATGTAATACGCATTTTTATTCTGCAAAACATGAATCCCTTCTATACACACTGTCTAATAAATTCGATGAAGCTTAAATTTTATCTAAAAAGAAAACTAATTCAAAATTCATTCTTCTAGAAACAACGTAATTCTTTCTTTCATTTGTAAAAATACGAATCTATAAAAGATTCAGAAAAATAAAATATTAAAGACTGAAATTGTCATATGTACTTTGAATCACAACAGATAACTTTAATTATTCTTGATATTATACATAATATGTATGGATATGAATCTAGTGTAGTGAACAGAGACACCAGTGGGGACAATTGAATGTATTTGAGCTTGAAATTATGGAACGTTTTAGTAAGATTTGAGTGTCATGCAGTAAATAACTCATTTGCAAAATATCAATCAATTGTCTCAGATTTCATTGTTCCCGCATTTTCATGCCAAGTGTGTTCCGTTTCCGTTTTTTTCCTTCTCGAAATATATTCTACTCCTGACTATCGTTGTATACTACTTGTGCGGATATAAGTAGCTCATACCACAGTATTATTTTTATATAAATAGTTGTTTAATTGTTGCATAAAACCTTTATAAAGTCTCTATATTTTAAAAATATCAATAAACCAGTAAACATATATTTTTCTATATTTGATCATTATCTATAATCTCATTATTATGAAAGGATTAATATATGTCTGATAAAATCTATTGAAAAAATGTTTTATTATTTCCAACAAAATAAGTTGATTAAACAAAGTCACTTAATTAATTGATTTAATTAATTCTAAACGTTTTAAGTCAATTAAACAATCAACAATTTGACTACGGTAAACGTTTGTCTATTACACAAAAGTGCATATGAGGTTGTCAAAGGGTTTAAACCCCTATATATATATAATCAGAATAGGGTTTTGTGGATATTGTATTAATTTTTAGTAGTTTAATTCATCAGTCGAATAAAGCTAGCCCACCATGAAAAACCCGGAAGCATCGGACGGCCGTTTCTTTCTGACGAAGATTCCCATACTAGAACGAAACGGCCATCTAGTGCTTCCAGAATTTTCCATGGTGGTCCAGCTTTAATCGGCTAATAAAATCTAACTGAAGTCAACTCTGATACATGAACTGGGAATCTAACAATTACCCGATCCACCTATATTAGTTATTTCGAATGAAATTAAAACCTATCAGTTGGATATACGTTAGCTCTGAGTATTATTGTTATACTTGTAGAAGATTTGTAAAATCGGACATTAGATTTCAACATTTATCTATTAAAGCAATTAATCCCTTTTGATAAATTTCGATAGTGTAATAAGAAGACGAAGATTATCAGAACTATGTGATATATTAGCACAATACATTTTGAACAATCTGATCACACATATACTTGTTAAGAACATTTATATATAAAAATAAAGAGTCAAGTAGACTATAAATGAAGGATAAGAAGAGACAAGGATAATAAAGAAATAATGTGTAAACAATTTGAAACCTCATCACATAATAATAATAATAATAATAATAATAATAAGCTAATATTAGCACGGTAGGTTTAAGGTGAGAACAAACTCTTTTGGAATACACAAAGTGAGTTTGAATTTTCATATAGCTAAGTCTTCAATAAGCCTTAGTATACCTCCTTTTACACCTCTGTACAACATTACATAGTTTTGATAATCTTCATCTTCTAATTACATTATCGAAACTTATCTATTAGTTATATTTACTTTTTTTTCGTACGTATATACTACTTTAATCCTTGCATATCTAATGAATTATTCTTTCATTCGGAATTTTGTTTCATAATAAAGAATTATTTATTTATTCAATTTACTATTTAACTAAATTAATTTCAATTATTCGTTATTATAACTTTATGTTTATTAGTTTTTATAAAATTTAATTAAAACTACTTAAATAATATTATTAATAATATCATTAATTCATAACAAAATTTTTCAGGTAAGATCTTGGTAAAATGAACTGAATCATTTTAATTGAATATTTCATTTATATTATTCAACTAGTGAACCCTAATTAATAAAGTTCATTTTAAAAAAAGACGTTTCCTTTTTTCTTATAAACAAATATAAGTATAAATTAAATGATTTTTCAATCATACTACTGATAACATGGTTATTTGAGTTTAAGAATAATTATTTATTATTAAGGTCATTAATTATTGTTCTCAATTGTTTCTTATTTTGTTGTTCAATAGAAATAGAATTAATCTAGTTTAATATGCTCGAATAATATTTGATTTGATCAACGATTCATTATGATCAATATGATACATGTTTATTTTTAAACTATGGAACAATAGACCCTTATTGAATGTGGAGAGATGAATTACTGGTTAAGAACTTCAATCTTTAACCATGAAGTCTCAGGTTCAAAAGCTTTTTTATTTACTGATGTTTGTGCAAGTAGTCAGTGTCATTAAAAGTCATAATTGAAGTACAGCTCAAAGCAATTAGACAAATCAATACTTGATTGGTAAGTTCTTAGTACTAATAATAACATTCACTAGAAACGTTCACCTATACATAAGTAACAAATACTCTTGGTAATACACAACTGTTTTTAATTTCTTTGATGAATTAGGAGTAATTGCTCATGTGCCGATAAATCAGTAAGTGATTGCCTATGAAAAAAAGTATTTTCTTATTAAAAGTGAATAAAGAAGTTTATTATATCGATGTAATTGATAATTTGAATTTCTACACTAGATTTAAACAATAAATAAATAAGAAACTTTTCATCACATAAGATAAAACAGAAACAGAAACGACTATGTAACATTCACTGAAAATGTCTAAACATACACCATCACTCTGCGTTTTCCTCCTAGTTGCAGTGTCAGCAAGTAGTTCACAATGTGGAGGCGGCTAGAATGACGTTGGTAATACATGTCCAAGCCTCTATCGCCTGTGTCTCAAAATGGTGGCACCATCTGAATTATCGTCACTGTATTCGACACAACACCTCTTCGTTACTGACACAGAAATGCTACTGGATGTTAGTAGTCTTTCAGTAGCAATGATAATCGAACAAAATAAATTCTTGATCATCTACAACTTAGGAAAGTTTGAAGTAAGACTGGTCTCACTGACGCTTTGTAAACCGTACCGAAACTAAATTACATGACAAAGTATGTAGTAGATCTATCACACAATAAATCGAGGAAAGTGGTATTTTGTTCAACATTTTGCTTCTGGATATGATTCTAGATAAAGATCAAATATTCCATGGATAAAAATATTATAAACGATGACTTAAACAACCTGATCCCCTGCTTTCACTTTTCTTTATTAAAATAATCGCAAGCATAACTTAACTAATAATACTAATTCGGTAGCTTTTTTGTTCAACTGACTTCATTAAATAAGTAAATAAATTTCAACAGGAGTTCCATAAATAAAACTGAAACATTCAAATAAAAACTTGTGTAGAATTACCAGACACTTTATTTTGTGTTCCGACGGTAACGACAGTCACAGGAGAATCAATTTTTTTGAAAATAATTTCAGTTTACTAAATTAGTCATGAGTAAACAAGTTTCTACTGAATGCAAAATTTTGTCACTTAACTGAGATCATGAACTGATCAATGTTAGACCACCACTGAAAACCTTCAAGCACTGAACAATGATTTCTTTCTGGTATCAGGTTACTCAGTAGTGCATATCCACAATCCCTAATGCACGACTCAAACTCAGAACCTCCAATCTCGCAGACGAATGTTCAAATATCTAGACCACTGAACTGATATCCAACGATGTTTATGTCTAACTTCAAATAATCCTTAATCTTACACAACCTTTAATCTATTGTGTTTGGTGGATGACTGTCTCACACTCGACATGCATTAGACTCCACTGATTAAGGCTTCCCACTAGCATTCTAAGAGTTATATCTTCAAACTGAAAACAATCATGTGCTCACTTGTGACCAGCTTCAAGATGTTTACAATGTTTGTTGTACAATTAGTGTGATTTAGGTTTTTTTCTAGTGTCAATTAAGTATATTTGATTCCTTATATTTGTTAATATCAATTGGAAGAGTCTAAACATATATGTTCTTAAATTATATCAATGGTGACAGATAATCTCAAAAGTACCGATAAAAAGGTATTGATCAAGTTAGGTGAAACTTATATCCTTCTTTTTCATAATTCAATCATTACTAATTCAATATAACCATTTAATCGTTGACATTTAAATCAAAAGAAATATTCATATATATTCACTAATGAACATTTATGTGATATATAAAACATTACTATCTTCATTATTCTAATACATTCAATGTTTCTTGTTTGAGTTGAGATTCCTTTGTAAGTAATTAAAAAAAAAGAAGAGAAAACAACTATCAATGATACTAATGTGATATTTTGAAAGTCCTTTTATCTTTTCTATTATTTTCTCATATGAATATTCGGCTGATTTATTCTTCTTTTTTTTTGTACGAAATCTAGATCATTAGCAAAAAGTTAAATATAATTTCGTTTACCTCTTTTCTCTTTCAACATGCATATAGATATTAAAATTATTATTACTATTAATAATAATGACTGTGCCTTTTAGGGAATTAGCAAATATTACTTAATTATTACCTTGTTTTAATACAATTAATATATACATTACTACAAATAGATTGTTTACTTATATATATATATATTTATGTAATGGAACATTGTACACAACATTAGCTGTTTACAAAAGATCTAGGATTCAAACTAACTAGTTATATCTATCTATATAGATAGACATTATTTACTCTTGTTTTTATTTCAGATGACTTTCCTTTCTTTTTTTTGTTCATTGACTATGTATAACGTTGTTCAAAAATATTTTATGATATACAACTATAAACATGTATTAGTATATAGTTGCTTATAGATTTGAATATAAGCTAATTTTACGTAAACACTGATTGTTATTGGTTAATATTCGGTTTGGTGATTTTAATATTAGCGTAAGTGTTAAAATGTATCAGATAATGTTAAGTCAACATTATCTATAGATTTAATTTATGTAAATATTACTAGTAACTAAACTCTAGAAGTAATCATTGGATTTCTAGTGAGAAATCGTAAACAGTGGATTCCAATCCATGTCGAGTGTGAGACAGTAAAATAAATGTTGTGTAAGATTATGGATTGTTTGAAGTTATACATCAACACTGTTGGATACCAGTTCAGTGGTCTAGATATTTGAACATTCGTCTGCGAGATTGGAGATTCTGAGTTTCAGTCATGCGTTGGAGATTGTGGATATGCACTAATGAGTAACGTGATACTAGAACGAAATCATTGTTCAGTGCTTGAAGGTTTTCAATGGTGGTCTAGATTAGATTGAGTTGTGAATTCGACTGTTAAAATACTACAATCTCTACAAGTTACAATACTGATATTCATTTATGATCATAATAGAGAGCTGCGATGATTTTGAATTATAAAGGTTATTCATTTTGACAGCATTATTATGTCAAATAGAATAAACTAAGCTACATGCCTCAGTTGATAAACATTTGAAGCATAAAACACTATTATGATATCAGCTTACATGCCGATTCCATTCGTTCCTTACAATGCCTAGGTTTGTTTTCATCTCTCTAAGTCTAGGGAATTTAATTTTCACTACATAATACTTTTTTACGTTGAGTGGAGTACAAGGTATCATGTAATTTTTTTTACAAAACTCCTTTTTTGGATTCTCGGTTAACGGTGTAAATCTTCAATAAATGACTGAACAAGGTTAGTAAATAGTTTTACGTAACTATGATGTTTTTAATTCACACTGTTATCCAGAGAATGTAACATCACACTTATAATCGTACATTTGTAATATTTATTCTCCGGTTAGTAATAACCAATTTTGTTTTCGACAAAGTCAATTATTTAGAAAAGTATGGGTTGATAATTGTTTGTATAAATAGTCGTTTTTAAAAATCCATTAGTTATAGATCCTCATCTCATGTTTTATTTTAATGAACACTGTCTAAAGTAATAATAACAAATAGTTTTCATTTTGTTTGAACAACTAATTTTATGAGTGAATATTTAAATGCCTATACTGAGTTACGTATAATAAATCATCTTCGAATAGTCAATCGTAGTTAAAATATATTCACACCAATAATTTCTTTAAGCATTCCTTATACAATGGAGGAAATTAATAGCTTCGTTGAGCTCTCTAAGCTGAATGGTTTCGTTACTAAGCTTTATTCTTCCTTCTAGACAATATCCATAGCGTTTACTTTAATCAGAATTAATACGGATAAGTATAATAAGTAAATCCTGACGGCGCTAATCTTAATGACAACCAGAATGCCGAAATTAAACAATGGAACTCAGTAAACTCAACATTATCATAAGTACATTTATACTGAACAGTATTTTCAGATATAAGACAATGATAAGTTCCTAGTAAAAGTTTCACTTATGAAGAGATTATAGAGACTATAAAAGAGTAAGCGGCGTTTATGTATGAAAACATGGCTAGCTTTGAGAAGTAACGGTTGATATTTAAACTATAATAAGTTACAATGTATAAATTATACCTTCGCACAACTAGTATAGTTTCGAGTGATCATGTAAAGAAGTTCGAGAACAAATACCAGTTAATCAAGGCCTTAACCTGAGAAGTTCAAATTAGGCTGAACAATATTTCATGCCGTTTTAGCCTACAATTTTGTGCATAATTAAATTATAGGAACTGTATAAGAACTGATAAGTAGCTTGAGTCTGACCTTCTGAAATGCATCAACAAAGGTATTTGTCTCATAATCTTTTTTCAAAGAGGTAATACATTCGACTTTTTCTTTTTTCTTTTTCAGGATAAATAACACGCTGGACTGAAATTTGTTTTGTTATTTGGCCAAACAACTATGTTTTCAGCATTTTTCAACGTCTGACTGTCACTAATAATTGTCACTAATTAAGGAAATAACAGATAAATGTCAAAAGCTAAACAACACTGGCGTCGTCGCGCTAACCCATCATTCTACATGATTACAAGTGAAGAGGTTGGTGATAACCACGGACATTCATCAAACATAGGACATGACAGGAGTCTTGGTGATTTAATAAATTTATCTGAGCAAAGTGACAGTGGTGGAGACAAAAATATTTGCAAACAAAGTAAGTAATTTGATAGTGAGGAGCTTTCTATGTGAAAAACTTAAGTCAGTCTAGTTAGAAACGTTATTTGTTTTAAACAGTAAACAGTGTACAATGTTTTCTAGTGGTCGTAATGCTCAAACACAAAGTGTTGTAGTGAACGCTAATTACAGAATCGTTTGTAAGTAGTATATAGCGGGAAGTGGCATTGAAGATACAGGAATTGTCAGACTGGATGAGAAGTTGCAATGCATTGAAAGCATGGCATTGGTAGAACACTTACATATCAGACGAGAAGACTGTTCTGATGGCAGAACACACTGAAAAATGCAAATGGACGATTGAAGGCTATGTATATGTATTATGTATACATTTTGTGTATTCTCACAACAAATTTATTTCCCCTCTGTCTAATTACTGCTTACCATACTAATGGATATCGAAAAATATTTATGAGATTTTTAAAAAAATACATTAGATTAGGTAAAATGGTATAGGGTCGACTCGGAAGTATTGTCCTAATATAATGAAATACGATATTGCTATTGTTTCCAACTACACATGATTATTGTAGAACATTTAGAGATTTATTTAGTCAGTTCGAGAGGCTTAGATATATAAATGTTAATTACTTCAGTTCACTACTGAAATATATATATACAATGAAAGACCATTTAGAAAATGTATGTAATACTTTTAGAACAGAAACATATTTTCATACCATTATTAGAAAACATTTGAACAATCTTGTTTTTGATAATTTTTATTAAATTTTGGTAAGCCTAAGTCGTCGCACATTTAATCTATGCAGATTTCCTTAAAAGAGACATTTTTCATAAATTTTTATAGTATATTTGAGAACAGAAACCGATCAAAATTTAGTCAAGATTGTCTACCACGTTATGATTCAATTTATTTCTAATAATGACATAAATACCATGTTTGTTATAAAAATAGGTAGTCTTCTGTAATTAGAAGCTCACTGGATAACACATTGAGCATTTGAAATGAAAATACTCGGTTCAAATATTTATATTAACATCAAAACTCCGATGCAATCACATCTAGCTGACGGATAAGAAACAGGATTAAATGAGCGTTCTGGATTTTACAGTTATTTACAACCGTATCTACTTTACAAAAACTGATCTTTCATGAATTTCGTTTTAGTTGCTTCTATTACTTTAACATATTTCAGTTACCGTAAATGTACAGTCTTTGCTTCATGCGAATGCATTTTGAAATATCAAAAAGAGCAAAATACTAGTATTTTACAGGGGAAATATAAACGTTATTTACATCAAAAATGTGAATATGTCACTTTAGACAGTCTTAAATGCACAAAGTAGTTTGTTTTTTAGATTTATATCTTAACATAATTAGCATACATGATTTATAACTGTCACTGATTATATTCAAAAGATAAAACAACGGAAACTCAATTTTATAAGGTCCAACTAAACGTAGAAAACTAAATAAATTGACAGAACGTACTACATTCGAATTGTGTTTTTTACCTTTTACTGCATACATCAATCGTACCTAATAAAGTATACCAAAAAGTTCAAATCCATCTTTGTGAAGTGGTAAGCTTTAAGATTAGTATTCTTAATAAAAGTATTTTTTTATATTCATCTAAAAAAATATAAACCATGAATGCAAATGCATTAATATAAGCTGCTACCATGTTTGGTTGTCAATCAAAGCTACAATGAACAACATAGCATTCAATGTAAACGAATAATAGTTATCATTATTTACATAGGTTTTTTCTATAGAAAATAAAGCCAACCGAACAACATTTCTTTCATATATAAAAAGAAACGTTTTGAGTAAATAATTTGTATCTAAATTGAGTGGTTCGTGAAACTACTTATTACAGGTTTATAACAAGGAAGGAGCCACCTAAGAATAACTCTTTCGTTCTAGTTAACATTCCTCATCAGCACAACTGTGTTCGGAGCCCCATAGTTTCTGGTTATTCTCTAGTTACTATCTAGTATTCGGATCCAGAATTAACTTTCCGTGTTATTGAGGACCGAAAATGTAGATGGAACTTCATCCGAGTTGATTTCACCCTGAAACTCGATTGTTTCCTATCAAAATATGTTGTAAAATGTGTAGCTTTTAAAGTTATTGAGACACCTGCTTAGAGTGGTTTGATTATGAATTCTTCAAGTGTATCTAGTATGGTTGATATACTGAATATTTGAATATAGAAAAACGTCCGAGTAAATAAAATATATTGTAATCAGAAGATACATTTGGAATATGTCTTGTTTAATTATTTTATGGGAACAATTATAAAATAATGAAAGGTCATTGATTATATCACAGCGTATTATGCCTATCGCACCGTAGACAATCCATGTTTGTTTAGTGATACAAATAGCTGTAACCTCATTGTTTTTCCAAACTTAATTTGTTGAATGCTTCATAGATTGTTCATAATACTATTTGACATATAAATAGGTTAATCTAACAGTCTACAAACTGAAGGTGAATTCGCTTGTAACATCAATGAGATCTCATTTATAATTCCTCATAAATCGGTAAAAAGAAATATATGGTAACTACATTATTATAATAATGGTTTCAGCCAACTTACATCTCAAAAATGAGTAATTTTATAACCCTTTCACTCTAACCAGGGTATGTTAATTAAAACAAAATTCTATGAAAAATACAGAAAACATTTTTAAATGAACCAGAATGACTAGTTCATTTCCATGCTACATCGTTCTAGGAGCTGAGAAAAATCAAATGGTATCTGGTTTAAGTACAGAAAGTGGTATATATTTTACCACCGCACAGATCAACCAAAATAATAAATCACCAGAACGTTATTAATTAACGCAAGTTTTCCAATAAAATTTTCGATTCATCCAATTTTGGTATTGTAATTGTATATGGATACTTCAAGTGACATTCAATATTACCAATGGCATGGATACTCAAAACAACTTGTCGAGTTCATTTCGCTATACTTTTCAATCCCTCTGAGTTGAACACTTGGACATAGGTCATAGATGTTGCATTGGGCAACAAGTAAACGTAAATAATCCACCTTATTATTATTACTTGTTCACACCATTAGTCACAAAATGTAGTTTAGAATTTGAACATAAAGAATGAAATGTGGAGTTTATAAGGTTTTTACACATCATTTCACATCATGAAGTGATCTGTTTTCATGTCTTTATACCAGATTGTTAAAATGAACATTTTACTTCTACAAAATGAAATATACTCCATCATTTCACCCTGTATTACCAATGAAATAAGTATTTATTAGAGCTGCAAAAGCAAACTACTTAATATACTAAAGTAGCCTAAGTGAAGCGATGGAAAAATTCACCTATGCTAAAACATCTATATTTACGCAACAGGTAGGTGCAAAAATTGAATTGTTACACAATGAATTTAAACTGTTCACTGTCAAACAACGAGTTCGATATCAAATCATTTTGAGTTGCAGAATATGTGAACTAAAAGGATTTACGTTCAAGAATAAAATGTAGATGTATTCAAAGAGAGATAACCTCTATCGTAAATTCTTTATGAGTAACGTACAACTTCTGTTTAACAAAACTGATTTATGTTTCCTTGAATTTATCTCACAATTTTCTATTCCACTGAAACGAAGAATAATCAAGAATGTCTGAGTGTATCGGTCATATATATGCAAACTCATGTTTGTTGATCATATCGTACATTTTAAATAACTTTCGACAAAAGCTCAAAACATTCTTCGCCAAAATCTTCACCTAGTTCATCAGTTATTCATTCTTTCATGCAATTAGTTTCCTTTATGAATTCATATATATATATGTACATATATATATATATATATATTTATATATATATATATATACAGTTCACATTGATATTCTTTTGTCATTCCAATCCTTTACATTAAATTATGTCAATGGTTCCCCACTATTTATGATCTCAATGCTAAAATTCTATTACATATTTGGTTGTAAGCAGCTGACGAGAAACCACGAAATGTAATGAATTCATATTATTCTGCATCAATATTTTTTCTGGCTTTATTTAAAATCATTCACTTACTCACTGATTCGTACAAATAGGTTGTGCCTCATAATAGTATTCTTATCTGTTACATGTAAAAACTTTGTTTACAAAAGAAAAGGGATAATCATAAATACGAGTTCAATTCACTGGCGAACAGATTAAATGAGAAAGAGATCATGACGCAATGAAACATAATAAATAATTCCAATCTTTAACGATAACAGAGGTTAGAATGATAAAAGCGATAGTAAGCAAAAAATGGTATAATTGTGATAAGTGTGATTATAATACTAATAACAATAAAAACAGTTCAGGAGGGCATAAGAAAATGGAAGTAGTTTTACATGTTTAAATTGTCAAGGGGTCAAATATGTTATTAAAATAATAAAACTGGACATTGTAATAATAAATTACAAATGAAATGAAAACTGGGCAGAAATGATCAATAAAAATATTGTGATGAAATAAATTTGTGGTTAACCAAAGAAAACTGGGAAAATAAAGGAAGGAAAGCTCAACAAGATATTATTTATCATCCTGTTATCAAGTGAGACACAGGTTCTTCTGTATACATTCGTCTTGTTCAAAACAACAAACAGTAGCTGTTTCTGCATATCTTGGGCTTTTATCATTATTCTGCTGATTTATTATCCAAAAGTTAGGACCAGTATCTTCTGAATGACTTATGTCCATTCAATGTATCCCTGAAACGTGGTTTGTATTAATTCAAATTTCAAAACATGAATTAGAAATCCATTCATTTGTAATTTTGCATTTAATTTAAGTTATTTACTGATCTACTTAACAACCGCGAAATGAAAATTTCTTCTTTATGTATATAACTTAGTTTGATTAGTGTCAGTTTTAAAATTAGATTTGCAACAAACTATCAAAAATTGTATAAAATGTTATCGCTTTCAATCATAAATAATTGCAATATAGCATACATTTTTGGATCGATATCATGAGAGGTTCAATGTAAGACCACCATTGAGCAACTGGAAGATCTGGAAAGCCGTTCCTGAGCAATGACTCTCCACAGTTCCTCATGCAGAACTCAAGCTCAGCATCTTCAATCTCGTGCAAAAATGCCTAACCACTAGAATTCCAAAAAATCCATTTCCTGAATGCACAATGCTGAGGACTTCCATACTAGGATGAAATGACCGTCCAGTGCTTCTAGGTTTTCAGTAGTGGTCTAACGTTGATTCGTTCGCGAAATCAATCTAAATTCAACAGTCTGTACAACCCTACACTGACACGTTTTACTTATCTAAATCGTCTAATCAATATCAAGTAAACGTGAATGTAGCAATTATTAAATATGTCTTTGTCAAAAAATTGACTAAACGGATTTCATTTTATCACGTTGATATTTGCTGATTATTAACTTCAGAAACAGAATTCTTTTTCTATATTTTGGTCGATAATTATCATTATGTTCAAACTACGAATACTCTGTATTTGAAACAGAACATTTTATTTATTATTAGCTTTATTCAACAACATATTTTTGGAACAGCATAGAATTCTCAGCACAATGTTTTTCAACAAATTCCCTTTACTTACTTCTTGATCGATCCTCACGACAAATAGTGAATTATCGCCAGTTAAAAGTTAGCAGTTCAGTCAATCGACGTCTAAATAATGTACATTATTTTCGCTGCATATTGCCTACCTGCAACTACGATATCTCTAATTGGGTCTTTGTAACTTGTACGACAAAAATTTGTACAATTTTCACAAACGCACCTGAATAGTTTATGCTAATGATAGCCATAATGATGTATTAAAACAAAAAAAATTAGATAAGTTGTTGAAATATTTAGATGGCAGGAACATATACTAAATGCTAACTGTTTCCAGTTAGTCCATGCCATATTACACTTTCATAAAGTCTATCTGAAATCCAAATAAAATTAAGTTACCCAATGCTGGTGATCGAAAAATTTTATCCTCCTTTTCAGTCTTCTAACGAGTTGTTATTATTAGGAATATGGTGCGATGAAACCACAATGAATGAAGTCTAATTAAATCATTGAAATGTCATGTCATGTTAAGTTTAAAAACATATACATCATGAATTCTAACAATATAATCTTATTCATTGTTAATTTTATTCACTATTATGATATTTCATAATTTGAAAATTACTTTACGAAAGTTCGGATTCATCAAATTTTTTATTTTCCCTTTGTGACTCGAACAACAGAAATACAAACATTCCTGAGGTTTCTATGTGATAGGTAATCAAACGTTTTCTTAATGAATGTATATGTATATACGTACAAATGAATTTTGTTTATTTTTGCTTTACTTGCTTATAATAACCTAGGTTCTGAAACTCATTTATCAAAATCTGATGAATTAATCAAATCTGAATCAAGAAGTAGTATTGACCAATCAAAACCATCCAAATCTATTACACATTCCCACACGACTACAACAATAACCAATCAAAATGAAAGAATAGAATCTGAACGAATAACTTATCCAAAACATTCATTATCATCTAATCAAATAAACTATAGTAGTAATAAACATAAAAATGATAGTAACAACAATAATACTCCTACTGACTCTCCTTTAATTAATGATTCACAGGAATTATTCACTTATGTTAGTAATAATGAACATTGCAATGTAAATAAACCAGTTCAGGATAACAGTGGCTGTATAAACTCTGATAGTAATCAAGAAGTTCAGCCGCCACATACAGGGTGGAATAATTCACGTAATTTTCTTACACATACACCTAACAGAGTTCATTTTACCTTTTCGAAAAGTATTGATGCTGATGACGATAATCATACATCGTTACGGGGATTATTTAATAGGACATTTCGCCCACATTTACGACGAGCAATATCCGAAGTAAAAGATGTATATAATCCAGACAATACAGAAGGTTCACTAACTGAAAGAAATTCACATCAGCAACAACAGAATCATTCACATCGTAGTCAAAATAAATTACATCGTCATCTTCAACAGCAGCTTCATAATATAAAATTAATATCCCATCCGGTATCACGCAGTCACCAGCAATCTGCTCTACACTTAAATTATCATACTGCTACCAATCAACCATATCTACAGCCTTACAGAATAAATGAATTCACAAATACATTTGAACAAGTGTACGATACTCCACAGAAATTTGATAGTAGTATATTAGAGATCCCGGTAGATATGTATGATGAAAGTATGTCAGATGATGCATTTTCAAGAAAAAATTGGCCTTCTTGTGATCTTAGTAGAATAGATTCTGAGCATTCAATACATTCAGGCAGATTACATGAAATGACGACTAGTGATACTTTTAAAGAAAGAGACTTACTTTTGAATAAAAATATAACAAATAATAATGAAACAAATATTGTAGTACATTCTGTGCCTAAAAAATCTAATCGTTTAAATGCAGTCAGACGAATGAACACAACTGCAGTAGAACAGCATCACCCGTTCAGTAATAATGATCGATTTAATTTTAGAAAGCAAACTAAACACCAACCGAGTAGCTCAAAAACTGAAAACTTTCCATGTACTAATAAAAAATATACACACGGAACATTAAGTCAGGATAATATCAATACATCCGCATGTAAACTTTTAGATTCATCTTCTATAGAATTGGGATCAGATTCCATGCAATCACGTCCGGTTCCAGCAACAACTCTTTATCGTTCTTCTTCAAGTGGTACACGTAATCCTGAATTCATAAACGATTTTGGCGTTGACCAAACGTTTATCAATACAGGAGTAGGTGTTTCTAACTCTCCTATAACATTAGCTGATAAGAGTACTGTTACGTCGAGTATCAATAGTTCTACAATGATAATTCTACAAAACAATGCAACATCAACAACACCGACAACAACAGCTATTACCGCTTTAGCTAATGGTAGTGTAAATGAATCAACTGTGGATCCATTAAAACAAAGTACATCAAGTTATTTAAAAGAACAATTTCAAGCTTTTTTTCAACCATCCGACAATAAACTAGCCATGAAATTATTTGGAAGTAAAAATGCACTGCTTAAAGAGAAACGACGCCAAGTACAACAAGGAAAATGGGTGATACATCCTTGTAGTAATTTCAGGTAAGTACAAATTTCACATGATATATCTTGTCAATAAAATGAAAAGATCATGTACTAAGATAAATTTTTATCTGCTAATCATTTTTTCATAAACGCTCATGATGACACCATTTATTTCATTAGGACATTAATGCTAGAAATGATTGAATTTTATGATTGTGTCTTATTTGCAATTAAGTACTACAACGCAATAGCGGGTTCTCCATACATCTTCCGTTATTGCTTATTAAACGAAATAGTTATACTGTAGAATCTGAGAACCATATGGTAAACACTTCATTTACAAAATACACATCGATTATCTCAGACTTAGTTGTTCCTTCGTTTCCATACCAATCATTCTCTGTTATCGTTCTCTTCGATTTTCTCAAACCTCTACCACTAGACAACTAGAAGATCATCCTATTTAATTATTCAATCGAAAAGAAAACATGATATAAACTAGTAAGCTCTTTTTAAAATTCTAAAAAAAAAATTTTCAAATTCAATATTATTCTCTAAAGTTATTGAATTAATTTGTTTTCTTCATTTTAATAAGTTAAAATTTTTCTCCTTCACTTAATATAATTAATCAAAATTATTTAACCATAGATAATCAAAAAAAAATAATGTCCTCCCCCCTAAGATGAATAAAGTTCTTAAAAAACAATGTGTTCCTTAACCAGTTATAAGTACTTTGTCAAAAAAAGTTTTTTTTTAATTCATCAGTAGTATCTGCTGTGAATGATAAGTATTTTTTTCTCAAGTGAAGTGAATTAACTTTGGGTTAACAGAAATAAACCATACAGGGTACAATATATATATATATATATAATTTAGAAATATGGAAATTAACTGAAATATATCAGAGTTATTTAAAATGTTTTATTATTAAATGAATGCCAAATTCTGATGTTAATATTAATTTATGCAAAGATGATCAGGTAGATTGGATATAAAACTAAAGATGGCTCAATGATAATATGATTAAAACTAAAGTTGGGGTGATTCTCGGAATTATTGTGTGAGGGACCTTGAAAAATGGATTTCAATTTGTGTTGAGTTATCCATCGAAGATGATGGATGAATGGTTGAACAAGCTCATAGATTGATCGAAGTTAGACATCAACAGCAACGAATGCCAGTTCAGTGGTCTATAGATTTGAACGTACGCACGTGAGACCGAAGGTTCCTTGTTTGAGTTGTGAGTACGGGATCATGAATGTGCACTGATGTACAATTCCGTACTGGGATGAAACGGCCGTTCAGTGCTTCTATGTTTTTACTGATAGTTCAATATTGATAGATTCATGATCTCAATCAAAACTCAACAATCTCCACAACCCTGTACTGATAAAAGTAAACTTGTTTAAAATTGAATCTATTTTATTTACTTAAAATGCTATCTTTAAGATTTATAGAGCTATGACTAATTCTTTTCAAATGTTTACCAATGTAGATAAACTAATTCTTGATCATTTCAATATTAACAAAACTAATATTAAATAATATAAAGTTAACCAATAAACTTTAAATCACATTTTAGGAGAAAATCTTAAACAAATTACCACTTTCCTAATATTCTTTTAGTTCTTCAAAGGCCACCGAAATATGGAGAACATTTTGAAATGGATTTTTTCTTAGATAAATTTATAATAAATAATTTTAATAGATGAGAAGTGCAGGTACATCTAGGTGAAGAGTCCCGAATAGGACGAAACACACGTCCTAGATTCCACTGCTAGCCACTATCCATCTTTGCTTATAGTGTTTATTTTTATTTCAAAAGTTCTTAATTGAACAGATTAACATATAAAACTCAAAATTCTTATAAGAATATGATTAGTGAAGTTTTTTTCGAAGTGCATATTTGGTAATATTTTAATTACTGAAGAATTCCCATTATATTAAAACACAATTATATGAACAAAGAATATTCGTTTCAATGGTTTCTCATCAGGTTCTACAATTATAAATCCAAATTAATAATTCATAAAAATTGGTCAGGTTTAAAGGAGAGTACATCACGTAAAATTGTAACATGTGAATTAAAGACTGTTGTTTGTCATATAAAATCAAATTAAATCGTTAATGTTGGGACTGACTAATAAGTGAAACGAGATTATGAGATAAATGATCAGAATAAATATGGTCAACATGGGGGTAAGAGAGATAATTATGTAATTACAATTCAGAAATTACGTGATATGTGGAATAATACAAATTAGGCAAGAATAAGCAGATAGGGGTAGATGCTGAATAAATTTCTCGAAAAGGTTAGCAAGTGTAATAATAATAATGACAATGGTGAGATATGTGGATAAAATGAGTTTAAGATATAAAAATGAACATTAATCAAATTACGCCACCTTATTAGGAAAATGATTATTAACTAGTTGGGCCAAAATTTGGCCAGGGTAAATGGCGTGGTTGAACATATTTCATTTGGATGTAAAGCTCTGGCTTTTTGATACGAATAGTGATTGTTTCAGCCGTCTGCAGGGTTCTCAATCTGACGAAATTAGGTAAATTGCTGTTGACACGGAATATTATTGTTAGAGATTGCTTCATGTTGTCTGTATGTCCCGTCCGAATTAAATGGGCTAAAATGGAGCTGTTAACAGTTTTAACTACACCTTTGCTTAACCCCATGTTGACCATATTTATTCTGATCATTTATCTTACAATCTCATTTCACTTATAAACTAATTCAAGTTAACACTTCATATTAGTCAGTCCAAACATTAACGATATGATTTGATTTTATATGACAAACAACAATCCTTGATTCACATGTTACAGTTTCTTAAATGATGTACTCTGCCTTAAACTTGGTCAATTTTTTATGAATTATTATTTTGGTTTTATCATTGTAGAACCTGATTAGAAATTATTGAAACGAATATTCTTTGTTCATATAATTATGTTTTAATATTTAAATTGTTTGAAAATTCATAAGAAGTGAGCAAGTATAAAGAAAAATTATAATTGGTCAGTTCATAGACATTTACATTATTTTTAAATAATAAATAAATAAATAAATTCAAGATTACGGGTAAAATAGTCTATTCGAGTTTATAAACAATTAAGTGATTTATCTGTAGTGTATACTTTTATAACTGAACAAACTACTTAAAATTGTAAATTCATTTTATGAAATTATTGACCAAAAGGGTTTAAATAAGTTTAACATACCATGGTTAGATTAAGATGGATTTGTTTGCTAATTAAACAAGTCTTGAATAGATTCACTATAGCAGAAAATAGGAAACCTTATTGATAAACAATCTTTAGTTATTAGGATCACCATTAATGCCTAGCCCATTATCAAACACTTATTCACTCTCATACATTGCAAGCTTACTCTGATAGTTTTAGCATAAATTAATTTACTTAACTGAATACTAAACAAACAGTAAGTATTTGAAATAAGGTATAGAGTTTCAGAAAGTTATACATGTTGAATAAAATAAATGTTCAAATTCTGCTAGAGAAAAGGAACAAAGTGAAATGTTTATTTGAATAAGAATCAGTTTTCAAATCAGATACTTTTTGGAAAGTGAATATATTCGGATTTTTTTATGAATGATTCAACTCAATTTACAAACAGTTTCCTAAATACATGAAAAAATACATTTTTTTCTTATGTTGAACTCTATTTTGAAAAAACTGACTATTACACTTGGTATTACTTTGTTTGAATCTTCCCATTGATGTTTAAGACTGCGATTGATCAGTCTTTTATTGGCATATGTGCATACTGTGCGTATTGCTTCGATATAGCCTTAATTCACAAACATTTTAAGCAAATATGGATAGTGGCTAGCAATGGAATCCCGGACGCATGTGTTTGTCCTATTTGGGACTTTAAACTTCACCCCATTGCACAAACAACTATCTATCAGGACTCAGTAGCTAAGTAGATAACGTGATGGCATTTGAAGCGGAAGGTACTGGGTTTGAGTGCTGGAGTGAATATCAACTGTGAGATACAGGTACATCTAGGTGACGAGTCCCAAACAGAACGAAACGGGCTTCCTGTAATCCACTGCTGACCACTATCCATCTTTGCTTAATAAAGGATTTTTTTCATTGTTCATGTATTTAATTATAAGAATGAATTCAACATATATTTTAAACGAAATAAATATATTGATCAACTTCATAATGTAACAATTTAATAGTTTTGAAAATATATTGAGTATATAATCAATATTGAATAAATCAAATTTAAATAAATCAATTGATTATATATAATGTTTTAATTTATATTTAAATATTTATTTGTTTAAAATTTCCGGACAATATCAAAATTTAAATGGTTCAATTGATTGTAAAGTTATTTAGTTTTACATTTATTTTTTTAACCTTTGGGGGATACCTTTAAATTTATTTTTTGAAATAAAACAATAATGTCAAGGTACACTTCAAGTAGTATTATTAAATATTCTTTTGATAAATAATTTGGTCACATCATAATGTATGAACAACATTTGAACGGTGTTAAAGTGACAGTGAGAATATCCAACTATTAACTAAGAATAAATGATGGTTATAATACAGTATGAAGAATTAAAATTATGATTTACATTTGATGGTCAGAGTTAAGAACTAGATTTAGAGTTTCCATCACTAATCAATACCAGCTAAAATGTCAAGACGCTATTTAGCCAGATGAACCTTTTATCTTACATCTGATTGGTTTGTCCATATATTATAGTTTCGCCGCTGATTTTTCATGTGACTTTATAGCATATTCAATAGTCAATGTTTCTAAGGGTATTTAGAGATATTTTATCAGTTTCAAATAATTTACATTCAAGTGTATGAAGACAGTATTAATTTATTTATACTTTACTATAGTTTTCTTTGTATTGAACTAATTATGACGAAACTTTGTTTAAGAAATATAAACCTGGTCTATATTTTTACGGACCAATTTCTTTTTTGGTAGTATTAATAATGTGTTTGGTAGTTTCTGCAAGTCACGACATGGTAAGATACAAAGATGTATGTAATTT